GTTGAATAGCACTGGGCCCAGGACAGAACCGTGTGGCACCCCACTAGTAATTTCTTTCCAGGATGATGAAGAGGAGCCATTGCTCAGCACCCTTTGGGTTTAGTCAGTCAACCAGTTACTAATCCACCTAACAGTTTTATTGTCTAGCCCACATTTTACTATCTTGTTTGCAAAAATATCGTGGGGGACCTTGTCAAAAGCCTTACTGAAATCAAGATATGCTATGTCTACCGCATTCCCTTCATCTACCAAGCTGGTAATTTTATCAAAACAAGAGATCAGATTAGTCTGGCATGACTTGTTTTTGAGAAACCCATGTTGACTTTTAGTGATTATGGCATTCCCTTCTAAATGTTCACAGACTCTCTGTTTAATGAACTGTTCTAGAATCTTTCCTGGTATTGATGTTAGACCAACTGGACAATAGTTGTTGGGATCCTCTTTTTTCCCTTTTTTTGAAGATGGGGACAATGTTTGCCCTCCTCCAGTCTGTTGGGACTTCTCCTGTTCTCCAGGAGTTCTCAAAAATTATTGCCAGTGGCTCTGAGATTACATTTGCCAGTTCTTTTAATATCCTTGGATGTAGTTCATCTGATCCTGGAGACTTATTAAATTCATTTAGGTTAACCAGGTATTCCTGTACTTCCTCTTTACTTATTCTGTGCTGCATTTCCCCTATTGTGTCCTCTGCTCCATTTTCCTCAGGTTGAACACCCTTTTCCTTTTGTGAGAAGACTGAAGCAAAGAAGATATTGAGTAGCTCTGCCTTTTCTGTGTCCCCAGTTAGAATTTCTCCATCTTCTCTGCACAGTAGCCCTACCATTTCTTTCTTCTTTCTTTTGCTATGGACATACCCAAAAAAGCCTTTTTTATTGTTCTTAACCCCTCTAGCAAGCCTGAGCTCATTCTGTGCTTTGGCTTTCCTGACTTTAGCCCTACATGTGCTAGCTATTTGTTTGAATTCCTCTTTAGAGATTTCGCCCCTTTTCCATTTCTTATACATCTCCCGCTTAAAACTTAGTTCAGTTGAAAGTTCTTTTGTCATCCAATCCCGTTTCTTGAGACATCTCCCATTTTTCCTTCTCATTGGAACAGTTTGAGATTGTGCCTTCAGTATCTCTCCTTTGAGAAACTCCCATCCATCCTGAACTCTTCGCCTTTAGTATTCCTGACCATGGAACCACTCCCAGTGTTTCCCTAAGTTTGTTGAAATCTGCTCTCCTAAAGCCTAGAATGAGTGTTTGACTATGCCTAGCTTCTCCT